ACGTCAGCCTTCCTGCTCCTCTGATGCTGCTTGGCCTGCTGTGTTCATCCAGCTCTACACCTTGTTATCACAAGCTAAGCAGAGACAGGCACGAGAATTCCTAGAAGCCTGGCACTCCACGGAGAAAGCCATTAATAAACACATAGAACTCGACCCCATATACACTCCACCTTGAAGGAAAACCGGAAGTGAGGCAATCCAGCTCAACGGACTCCAGAGTTTAAAAACCAGGCAGGAAATCACACTGACCCTTCATCAGAGGCTGCATTGATGATGTTACCCAGCATGGTAACAAAACATCTGCGGAACAACAAACCAGCTCGGCAAGCCAACCAACCTCACATTCTACAAGTATATTAAGCACAAAAGACTAACTAGGGAGTGAATAGGGCCCCTTAAAGATCAACAAGGCTATCTATGTGTGGAACAACCAGAGATGTGACATACCAAATGAATATATTGCATCAGTAATTACTGTGGAGAAAGATATGGAAGCTAGGGGAATAAATAGTGATGTCTTGAAAAGAGTTCATATTACAGAAGAGGCGGCGCTGGAGGTTTTAAAACACATAAAGGTCTATAAATCCCCAGGACCTAATAAAGTGTATCCTAGAACATTGCGGAAAGCTAAAGAAATTGCGAGGCTCCTAGCAGAGATACTTGTTTCATTCTAATATCAAATAATGTTGATCTTGCTTTGCGTACCTTCTGTGAAGTTGTAGCCTGTATGCCTCGTCCTGTCTAAGCACCCTATGCTCTGTATGTCCTTGTTTGTTGTGATCTGCCTGTACTGCTTTCAAAACAAAGCTTTGATCTGCCTGCACTGCTTTCAAACAAAACACTATACTTAGGTACATGTGAGTACAATAATTCAAATCAAATCGACACCGACGGGTGAGGTGGTGGAAGACAGGAGGGTAGCTAATATTGTGCCATTATTTAAGAAAGGCTGCAAGGAAAAGCCAGGGAACTACAAACAGGTGAGTCTGACGTCAGTGGTGGGTAGATTGCTGGACAGGATTCTGAGAGACAGGGTCTACAAGAATTTGGAAAGGCGATGTCAGATTAAGGACAGTCAGCATAGCTTTGTGCATGGGAAATTGTGTCTTACATACTTGATTGAAATTTTTGAAGACTTTGTCTACATGGACTTTAGCAAGGCCTTTGACAAGGTTCCACATAATAGCCTGCTCAATAAGGTTAGATAACATGGGATCCAGGGAGAGCTAGCCAACTGGATACAAAATTGGTTTGATGGAAGGAGACAGAGGGTGCTGGTAGAGGGTTGTTCAGACTGAAAGCCTGTGACCAGCAATGTGCCACAAGGTTCGGTGCTGGGTTCACTGTTGTTTGTCATTTATATAAACAATTTGGATGAGAACATAAAAGGCAAGTTTACAGATGACACCAACATTGGTGGTGTATTGGACAAGTGATGAAGGTTATCTAAGAGTACAACGGGGTCTTGATCAACTAGGCCAGTGGGCTGAGGAACGGCAGATGGAGTTTAATTTAGATAAATGCAAGGTCTTGCATTTTGGTAAGACAAACCAGGGCTTGACTTATACAGTTTTTGGTAGGGCCCTGGGGAATGTTGTTGAACAGAGAGATCTGGGGTGGTGGTATACAGTTCCTTGAAAGTGGCATCACAGGTAGTTGAAGAAGGCATTTGGCATGCTTGCCTTCATCGGTCTGAGCATGGAGTGCAGAAGTTAGGACATCATGTTACACCTCTACAAGACATTGGTAAGGCCACATTTGGAGTACTGAGTACAATTCTGGCTGCCCTGCTATAGGAAGAATGTTATTAAACTGGAAATGGTGCAAAAAAGATTTACAAGGATGTGGCTGAGACTGAAGGGTTTGAGTTATTAGGAGAGACTGGATAGCCTGGTACTTTTTCCCTTGGAGCATCAGAGGCTGAGGGGTGACCTTATAAAATCATGAGTGGGCACAGATAAGGTATACAGCCAAGGTCTTTTCCCCATGGTAGTGGAGTCCAAAACTAGTGGATGTAAGTTTAAGCGGAGAGGGGAAAGATTTAACAGAGATCTGATGGGCAGCTTTTTCACATAAATGGTTGTGCATATATTGAACAAGCTGCTAGAAGTGGTAGAAGCAAGTACAGTTATAATATGTAAAAGACATTTGGACAGGTACATGGATAGGAGAGGTTTAGAGAGATATGGGCCAAACGCAGGCACATGGGATTAGTTCAGGTTAGGAAACCTGGTCAGCATGGACGAGTTGGGCCAAAAAGTCTGTCTCTGTGTTGCATGGCTCTTTGACTCTCAGGTTCATCAGAGGTCAGTATTCAGACTGTTTTTTAATTACATATATGACTTTGAATTTTGGACTACACAATTAAATTTCAAAATTGCTGATTGTACCAAATTAGCAGATGTAAAAAACAGTGAAGGTGATACTAAGTGATTGCAGCTGGATATGGATAGTTAGCAGGGTAAACAAGTGCCAGATTAAATGTAACAGTGCAAGATTTCACTATATTGGTGGAAAAGCATTATAGACTAAACATTGCCCCTGAACACTCTTTAGATCTCAGAGACCTAGGCTTCCATGTTGCATTGAGATTTGAAGGTGACAGGATATATTGAGAGCAATTAGCAAATGATATGGGAGCTTCAGAGATAAGAAAACTGTACATGAGCAGTTATAGAAGATGTTCTGAACCTTTATAAAATTCTGGTTGGAGCACAACTGGAGGATTACCATCAAGTTCTGATCATCCTACTTAAGGCATGATGTTGGGGGTCTTTGAAGTGAAGTATGGCAATCCAGTCAAAAAGACGTGGTCAGAGGCTATTCAGCCTATCAGTTCTGTAACTCTGGACAGCAATATAATCTTAAATTTTATTTCCCTCACTGCAACAAATATTGTGGCTGTTGGAAGTATAAAAAATAGACACAGACTGCAGCAAACCTCACGCAATCAGTGGCTGAGAAACAGCATAACGGATGAATGAATGAATGAATGATTTTATTGTCATGTGAATTTTACAGTAAGAATACCGTAGAATAGTGAAAAGCTTTCATTTCTCGCCATGATTCGGTGCCTTTTTGAATAATTTATGAATAAGGGAAGAGAAGGATATAGCTTAAGCCAGCTCATCACAACCAACAAAGCCTGTGCCACCATCCCTCCTCCACCGCTTTGTCACCGTCTGCACTGGACCCAACCAACGACGAAGTTGCCGATCCTCAGGCACCATCTTTTGCCTCTGGGCCTACCTCACCGTCGTCGCCTCCACCGATATAGCAGCTGCGATTCTGATGCCAGGCCCTGGACTCACTCGAGATGTGTGCTGGGCCCTATCCTCTGCGCTGTACTTGATTGAATGGGGTTGATGAGCCTAAATCAGATAAGTTTTACTTTACTATTAATTGTCTACCCCCAGGCCTAAGGGGCTACCCTAGGGCCTTCCGGCTGAATGGGCAGCCGTTGATGTCACGTGACATCTTTATGCACGGCGGGAATCTCGCGCGAGCCTGAGTTCTGCGCGTGCGCAGAGTCACCGACATGGCGCCGCCGTTGAAGAGAGTGGTAGAGGCTCTGAGTGAGCTCATACAGCCCGGGGGTGAGGGATAGGCACAGGCACAGGCACAGGCACAGGCCGCGGGTGAGGGTGAGGGGAGAGCAACAGAGAAAGGATGTGTCCCGATGTTGGGGAGGCAAGATATGAGGGGCTGGAGGACATGACAAGTTGGGTGAGACCAAGGGTAGAAGAACAGGCACCCCGGGGTAGGCCAGGGAAGGAGAAAGACGTCCAGGGGTGTGGGATGGAGTAGTGGGTTGGGGACAAGTTTAAAAACGCTTGGTTAGTGGCGAAGAGTGGTATGTGGATAGGACTGTGAGTAATGAGTGAGGGAGGAGGAATTTATCAAGAATATGAAGGAAGATAAAACATTGGAATGAAAGTTTGGAATGATAAAAGCCAGCTCTTCATCAGTGTGGAACAGAAACCTCCTGGTTAGGGAGAGCTGGTCTGGAACAAACAATAATCAGGTAGTTTTTTCCTGATGAACTTTGTTTTTATTGGTTTCAGAAGCACGGACGGCACAGATCAGTCAAGAGAATGTGCTACTGCGGACACTGTGTCACAATCTGTCGGTCCTCGACCAGAAGCTGCAGCAGGATTCTAACTCGGCAACTTTACAGCAGCTGAGGGAACAGGTGATATCTCAGTTAACATGGTCAGTGAGGTCAGATGATGCAGTCTGGAACTTTGTTACTGAGGTTCTAGTGCAGCTCTTGTGTTTAAAGCAGACAATGATTGAATTGTTAGCGCAGTTCGTACCCCCAAAACCAAATCCAAAGTCTCCAGAATGTGCCCCTGCATTACCTCCAGATACTCTGAGCATCTCACAACAGAAAACAGTCCAGACTGCGCTGCAGTTCGTCATCATTCTTGGGATCTGTCCATACCTTCTACCAGGAGTGGGAACTCCTCTTAGATGCAGATCAGATTTTGCAGCAACTGTTGAGAAATTGGTTTGTTACTTGGCACCTCCCAGAGGAATGTGGAGGCTTCACATTGTCACTATGGCACTCCTTGACATCGCTCACCACCCTTCCTTAGAGAGCCTGATCCTCACCAGGCATCTTGGAGATTTGTTAGCCAGTCTCTGCCAGTTGGCATATTCACCAAAGAAATATCATTCGAACCTGACGTCAGAGGAGTCTTCACGTCAAGAGGATAGAGAGAAACAGAAGGTACAGTAACCGACTCTAATATTTATCAGCAACCTGGAGCTATCACTTCAAGCAAAGAAACAATAAACCACATGATATATGTGCAGTAGACAATTTGACACCTCAAATCTGCTCCACCATTCAAAACAATAATGGCATGTCTAATCATCTACCTTAGTTCTATTTTCTGGCCTGCTCCTCATTGAATCGTATAGTACAGAAGAGGCCCATTGAGTCTGTACCATCAAAAATACACAACTACAGTAAACCTACTTTCTTGCACTAGGCCCATCACCTTAAATGTTATGATATTTTAAGTGCTCATTCAAGTATTTTTTAAAGGTTGTGAAGTTACCTGTCTGAACTACCCTCCCATTCCAGACTCCTCATCCTATGAGTGAAACTCTTTTCTCTAAATCCCATCTAAACCTCCTGCCTTTCACTTTGAAAGTGTGCCCCCTTGTTCTTGACCCTGTGACTAAGGGGAACAGCTGCTTTCTGTTCACCCTGTGAATGCCCCTCATAGTCTTATTCACCTCTAGCAGATGCCCCCTCAACCTTCTCTGCTCCCAAGAAAACAACCCAAGCTTAGCCAGCCTCTCCTTGTGGCTGAAATGCTCCATCTCGGATTCACAATAATTTCAATTAAGAAATTTTTCCTCATCTCAATCTTAACTAATTAGTCCCTAATCCTAAAATTGTGCCTCGGTATTCTAGATTCTCGAACCAATATAATCAACCTCTCAGTATTTCTCATGTCTAGCCCTTACAAAATTTTGGTTTTTAATGGGATAATGTCATGTTCTTCTAAACTCCAGAACGTATTGGCCTAATTTATTCAGCCCTTTACCCCTCATCCCCTGAATTAATTTAATGAAGCTTTACTGTGCAGTCTCTAGTTATGTATATTCTCCCTTAAATGTTGCACATAGGATTTCAGGTATGGCCTCACCAGTGCAATAGACAATCCCAGCCTTTTCCTCATGACTGATGTCAGTCTAACTGGCCTGTCGTTCCCTGTTTTCCCCCTCCATCCTTGCTTGAACAGCAATGTTATGTTTGCTAACCTCCAGTCTGATAGGATCATGCCAAAATATAGAGAGTTTTGGATAATCATAAGTATCCACTATTTCTGCAGCTATCTCATTTAGAATCCTAGGATGTAAACTGAGTTTGACACACCTCATCAACTTAATGGTAAAACTGCAATACTCAAGTCCTCAAAGTTGTTTTGTGTAATATGTATGTCATTGACAGGGCCTTACGGATGCTGAGCAGCACAGCTGCCAACAGGGTTTACAGAAACTGCTGGATCGAGTGTATCAACCAATTGTTGTCAAGGAGTTGCTGATCTTGCAGGGAGGAACAAAACAGGTAATTGTCCCTGACATTATTGGCGATGGTAGGAAGGATAGTGGTTTTACACGAGACCGGAGTCAGGGGAATGAAAACCAAAAGAACTGCAGATGCTGTAAATCAGAAACAAAAACAGAAGTTGCAGGTCTGGCAACATCTGTGAAGAAAAATCAGAGTTAACGTTTCATGTCTGGTGACCCTTCCTCAGAACTGATGGTAGATAGGAAAATGGTGATTTATATGCAGAATATAGGATGGGGGGGGAAGGGGATCAGGAGTAAACAGTAGGTGGGGATAGAGCCCAAAGAGAGAGAAGAATAGTTGAACAGACAAAGTAGCAGATAACGATCTGCCTGGGAGGGTGAATAGCTGTTAGTAGGGACTGGTATTGGCCAACAATAGGTATTGTGTAATGGCAGGCTATGTGATAACAAGGCCTGGTGTGTGTGGTTAATGGCTAGGGCAGGGGAGCGTTTAGGCCCTAAAATTACTGAATTCAGTATTGAATCAGGAGGGCTGCAGGGTCCAGGCGGAAAGTGAGGTGTTGTTCTTCCAGCTTGCACTGAGCTTTGCTGGACTACTGCAGCAAGCCTGAGGTAGAGATATTGATTGATTGATTGATTGATTGATTTATTGTCACGTGTACTGAAATATAGTGAACAGGCAGATCACAGTATGCAAAGGACTTAGACGCATCCAGCTTACATTATTTGAGGCTAGAGTCCGTTCAACAGTCTGGTAATGGCCGGGAAGAAGCTGTTCCTGAACCTGCTCGTGCGTGTTCAGACTTCTGTATCTTCTACCTGATGGAAGAGGTTGTAGGAGATCATTACCGGGGTGCAGTGGGTCTTTGATAATGTTGGCCACCTTTCCACAGCAGCTAGCCGTGTAAATAGAGTCCATGGATGGAAGGTTGGTTTCTGTGATGGTCAGGTCTGTAGTTTCAGTAGTTCAGTAGTTTCTTATGGTCCTGGGCAGAGCAGTTGCCATACCAGGCTGTTATGCACCTGGACAGTATGCTTTCAATGATGCATCTGCAGAAGTTGGTAAAGGACCTTATGGACATACCAAATTTCCTAAGCCGCCTGAGGAAAAAGAGGTGTTGTTGTGCCTTCTTGACTGTCACGTTTACATGGGAAGACCAGGACAGGTCGTCGGTTATCGTCACTCCGAGGAACTTGACGCTTGGAACTTGGCCAGAGAACAGGATGACGTGTTAAAGTGGAAGGCAGCTGGAAGCTCAGGGTCTTTTTTGCAGGCAGAATATAGCTGTTCTGCGAAGCGGTCACCCAGTCTACACTTCGCTGCCCCAATGAACAGGAGACTACATTGTGAGCAGCGAATGCAGTAGGCTAGAGTGAGAAGTGCTGGTTTGCCTGGAAGGTATGTTTGGGCCGTTGAATACTGAAGAGGGAGGAGGTAAATGGGCAGGAGTTACACCTTAAGTGGTTGCAGGAGAAGGTGCCGCGGTGTTGAGGGGGCGGCAGTGAAGGAAGAGTGGACCAGTGTTTCCCTGCGGTAGGCAAACAAGGGAGGGGAGGGAAATATATGTCTGGTGGTGGCATCTTGCTGGAGATGGCGGAAATGGCAACTGATGATGTTTTGGATGTGGATACTGGTAGGATGGTAGGTAAGGACGAGGGGAGCCCAATCGCTGTTGTAGAAGGGAAGAGAGGGGGTGAGGGCAGAAGTGCGGGAGATGGGTCAGACCCAGTTGAGGGCCCTATCAACAACCGTACTGGGGAATCCTCAGTTGAGGAAAAAGATGGATGTTTCAGAGGCTCCGTTGTCAAAGGTGGCCCATTGGAACATATACAATGGAGGTGGAGGAGCTGGGCAAATGGAATGGAGTCTTTACAGGAAGCAGGGTGCGAGGGTGTATAGTCCAAAAAGCTGTGGGAGTCGGTAGGTTTGTAGTGGCCAGTCTATCCCCAGAAATGGAAACAGATGTCGAGAAGGGAAGGAAGGAGTCGGAGATAGACCATAGAGGCGACTATACTAGGTAAGACGATGAAGGTGGTCCTGCATATGCAATAAGAGGAGCTAGATGCCAGCAGAAAAGCAGAGCATTAGAAAGTGAGAGTGGGATGGAAATTGGAAATGAAATTGATGAACTTTTCCAATTCCAGATGAGAGAGGGAAGCAGCACCAATGATATCATTGATATATCGGAGAAAGAGTTGTGCGTGGGGGCCGGAATAGGACTTGAACAAGGAATGTTCCATGTATCCCATGAAGAGACAGACATAACTGGAGCCCATGTGGGTACCTATGGCCACCCCTGTGACCTGAAGAAAATGAAACAACTTAAAAGAGAAGTTGAGGGTGAGGGTAAAGACGAGCTCAGCCAAGCGGAGAAGGGTCGTGATGAGTCGCGACAGTTCAGGCCTTTAGATGCAGAGCAGAACTCATAGAATTCCAACAGTGTGACAACAGGCCCTTTGGCCTAACAAGTCCACACTGACCTTCAGAACATCCCACCCAGACCCATCCCTCTAGAACCCACCTAATCTACACATCCCTGGACAGTATGGGCAATTTAGCATAGCCAGTCCACCTAGCCTGCACATCTTTGGACTGTGGGAGGAAACCAGAGCACCCGGAGGAAATCCACACAGACGCAGGGAGACATGCAAACTCCACAGTCACTTGAGGGTAGAATCAAAGCTGGGTCCCTGGCGCTGTGAGACAGCAGTGCTAACTACTGAGCTACGGTGCCTCCTCTACACTGGCCCCATCAAACCCCCCCAGGACAGGGACAGCACAGGGTTCAACACAAGGTAAAATCTTCTCTACTCTTAGGTTGAAAGCAAAGCTTCCTTAACTCTTAAACTGGAACTAAAGCTTCCTCTACACCATCCCAATCAAATACTCCCAGGACAAATACAGCAGTTCTGAGTCAGTCTCCAGGTATTATAACAAAACAGAAAATAGATGCAGGAGTAGGCCATTTGGCCCTTCGAATCTGCACCACCAGTCAATATGATCATGGCTGATCATGCAACCTCAACATCCCACTCCTGCTTTTTCTCCATACTCCTTGACCCCTTTAGCCGCAAGGGCCACGTCCAGCTCCCTTTTGAATATATCCGATGAACTGGTCCCAACAGCTTCCTGTGTGAGAGAATTCCATAGGTTCACAACTCAGGAGTGAAGAAATTCTTCCTCATCTTGGTCCTGGATAGCTTAACCCTTATCTTAGACTGTGACCCCTAGTTCTGAACTTCCCCAACATCGGGAACATTCTTTCCGCATCTAACCTATCCAGTTCCGTCAGGATTTTATATGTTTCTACGAGATCCTCCTTCATTCTTCCAAATTCCAGCCAATACAAGCCCAGTCGATCCAGTCTTTCCTCATGTCGGTCCTGCCATCCCAGATACCAATCTGGTGAATCTTTGCTGGACTCCCTCAATAGCAAGAATGTCCTTCCTCAGACTAGGAGACCAAAACTGCACACAATACTCAAGGTGTGGCCTTACCAAGGTCCTGCATCACTGCAGCAAGACATCCTTACTCCAATGCTCAAATCCTCTTGCTATAAAGGCCAGTATGCCATTAGCTTTCCCCACTGCCTGCTGCACCTGAATGCCAACCTTCAGCGACTGTTCCATCATGACACCCAGGTCTAATCAACATCTAATTGCGCCTCACCTTTTCCTAAACTACCACCATTCAGATAATAATCTGCCTTCCTGTTTTTGTGATCAAAGTGGATAACCTCACATTTATCCACATTATATTGCATTTGCCAAGTATTTGCCCACTCAGTCAGCCTGACCAAGTCACCCTGCAGCCTCTTAGCATCCTCCTCACAGCACACACTGCCACCCAGCTTAGTGTCATCTGCAAATATGGAAATATTACCTTCAATTCCTTCAACCAAATGGTTAATGTATTACTGTGTACAGCCGGGGTCCCAGCATTGAACCCTGCACCAACCGACTCATCACTGTCTACCACTCTGTAAAGGACCCGTTTATTCCTGTCCTCTGCTTCCTGCCTGTCCACCAGTTCTCTAACCATATCAATACATTACCTCTGAAAACGTGAGCTTTAAATTTCCTAACTAATCTCTTGTGTGGAACCTTGTCAAAAGCCTTTTGAAAGTGGAGATACACATCATCTACTGATTCACCCTTATCCACTCTACTGGTCATATCCTCAAAAAACTCCAGAGGATGTGTTATGCATGATTTCCCTTTAGTGAATCCCTGCTGACTCAGACCGCATCTGACACCCCCATCCAAATGCTCAGTTATTACATCCTTAGTAACTGACACCAGCATTACAAGCAGAGAGCCTTGATACTATCGTGGTGGGGGATGAATGTGTAAAGGGATTGCAAGTCCATGGTAGAGAGTAGGCGGCTAGAGCCGAAACTGGCATAAAGTGTCAGAGGATTTATGGATGTAATGGGCAGGGACTGGACCAGGGGAAAAAAGGCTGAGTCAAGGTAGGAAGAGATGTGCTCTCGGGGTGAGGAGCAGGCAGAAACAATGGGTAAGACAATGAAGGGGGTCCTACATCAGCAGTATGAAGAACTAGATGCTACATTGAAAAGCAGAGCATCAAAAATAATTATCTCTAGACTATTACATGAGCCATATGCAAATTGGCACAAGGTAGAATGCAAAGATGCCTCAAAATCTGATTTAGGGAAAATGGGTTTGATTCATAGGGCACTGGGTACAGGGGAAATTGGGGGCTGCACCATTGGGCTGGATGGCTGAGGCTGCTTTTCTAGTGAGTTATACTACTAGCAAAATAGTGAGAAGGTCATCTCAGGGAAGATTGAGTAAATTCAAGAGAAGTACAAAGAAAATAGATCAAGGTAACAATAAAAGGTAATGAGAATCAGAGTATGGCAGGAAGGGATTGTAAATAAAACTTCAGCATGTGCAACCAGAGTTTACAGTAAGTGTTAAAAAATTGAAAGGGGCCATGTATTTGAATATCTGCAACACTAACGACAAAGCAGACAATTGTCAATTTAAATAGAGATTATATTTGTGACC